GTCTCCAAGAACTGTCTGATCACGGTCTTAAAATTCGGGTAACTTCCCAAAACTTCGGCATAGACCTTGGGTCGTCCCTGGGTATTGATCCAGTCTTCCAATATGGGTTTGAACCATGTAGCTGCGGTGTCTCGTAAGTATGATCCAGTAAAGATCACCTTCTCAACTTCGGTAAGTCCTGCTTTGGTGGCTAGGTAGATGTCACATTCACTTAAGAAGTGCTCTAGCTTGTGTCGTTCTCCTTTAAAGGTGTCGGGTGTCCTAATCTTGACTGATGCTCGTGTATCTCCGGTCCGTGCTTTCAAAGCTCGAATCTCGTCTGACATTCCCTTGATCTGTGTCTCACACTGCTCGATGTCGTCCTCACAGTCTTGGTCGTTGACTTTCTTCTCCAGCGCGTCGATCTGCTGCTTGAGTTGGGCCAAGATGTGGTTGGAGTTGGTGGTGTGTCCGCTTGCAGTAGACATATTGGCTTTTTTGTTGTTCGGGTAATGTGTCCTAGTTAGTTCTTTAAATGTTCGGGGTAGGGAATACGTACCTGTGTTTTCCTTTCAGATGTTCGGCTAATCGGGGTCGTGATTATATCTGCCGTGGGTGTCGACTAGTCTTTTGGCTATAGACTTTTCTCTGGTCGGAGTGACTGTATCGAGTCGGAATCGATTATGTCGGGTGCCTGTAACCGTAGGTGCGGGAAGATCAATGCTACAAAGGTGGGCTTCTCTTATAGGGATAAGGGAGGCGTCTCGAGGAAAGGTGTAACTCAAGGTGCTCTGTGGATGGGTTGGAGTATAAACGGTGCTCGTTCACTGTAGGAAGGATACTCCGGTATCCGACTTCAAGGCGATAGCTCCAAGTCTGGCTCAGCGTGCATGTACTCTCTGAGGTCCTTGTAAGCAATGAAGCTGGTACACTGGTCAAGTCTGGTATAAAGGTGTCAAGGGATATCAGATAGACAAAGGGAAGTGTATGTGTATTGACTAGTGCTGTAAAGCTATGGCTTGCTATGAAGTTGGCTTTGATCTTGAGTATCAGAAGATAACTCGAAATCAAGTGGGCGATGAGTGCCCTTATATACATGTGCTATATCAGGTCCCTCATCCTTCGAATGTTCCTCAGGTCCCATGTGGACCTGTTGTCCTGAGGTCCCAGGTTGGACCTCCTCCCTGAGGTCCCATCATGGACCTGTCCATGGTCTTGGCATTTGGGACCTCTCCAGTCGTCACGTGACCTGGGGAGTTCCTGGGTTCTTCCGTCCCGTAACCTTGTTTGTCCAATGAGCGTATTTATCGGGGTTGCGCCGCAGGTGGTCTGTAACAATTAACCTTCTATTATTATTTAAGTATCTTAATTATAAGTTTATTATTTCTAAATCTATTCGATAGATTCGCATATTTTATTCTATTTATCTTTACTTAACGAGCTTTCTTTACTAGATAAACTTTTAAAGTTTACTTTCTATTATATTTATACCACTAGTTCTTACTATTATTTTTATAGTTATAACTAAACTCGTAGTAATCTAGTAGTATTAAGCTAGTATTATATTATTATATTACTAGTAAATTCCACTATATATCTCTAGTATAGAACTTTTACTTTTTATTCTTTCTTCTAGTATTAAATTTCTAAATATTTATATAGTGTGATATTTTCTTCGTTCATTATACTAATACTTTTTCTATTAATCTATCCCTAGTATTTATTATATACTAGATATTCGTTATCCTTATAGTATCTCTAGTAAATATTTTTATTATTTCTATATTCTAGATATTATAGGTAGTTATTATAGTAAAGTTTTCTTTTATACTTCTATATTTCCTTAAATATATAATATTTATAATAATAATCCTAGTTATATTCGTCGTGGTATAGATAAGCTAAGTTAGAGATCTCTCTTTACTTCTTTATATTATATATAAAGTAAATGCCCTTTTATTTATATACTATCTAATATTTTTCTCCTAAATTATTTATATATTCCTTAAGGCTATCTTTAATTTGTGATTCCTTCTTAATCCGTAGTAATACGTTCTCCTATTTATAATCCTCTTATTCTAATTCGGGTATTTCTTAATTATTCTCAAATTCTATATCTTTCTCTAAGTTAGTTTATTCCGGGGTTATAATTCCTTAATTAGATTCTATTATTAAATTATATTCTTGATTAGTAAATAGGGTATCTCTTTAACTTCGTTCCCTCCTATATCCCTTTAGGTATCTCTATTCTTATCCTAATATTGTATTTTATCTTTATAATATTAGCTTATCTCTATATATAATCTATTTGTTAGATTTACTCTATTAGCTCTTTATTTATTAGTAGTTAGCCTTATAATTACTATCTAAGTTCTAATCTAATACTTATAAGTACGTTCTTACTATTGCGTATAGATATCTCTTAGTATTCTAGTAGTATATATCCTACTAGCTACTAGTCCTAGATATAGTAGTAGTATTGCTATAGAGCGGCTCGGTTTATAGACACTGAAGTAAGATCAATGCTACAAAGGTGGGCTTCTCTTATAGAGATAAGGGAGGCATCTTAAGGAAAGGTGTAACTCAAGGTACTCTATAGATAGATTAGAGTATAAATAGTGCTCATTTACTATAGGGAGGATACTCCGGTATCTAACTTTAAGGCAATAGCTCTAAGTCTAGCTTAGTGTATATATACTCTCTAAGGTCCTTATAAGTAATGAAGCTAGTACACTGGTTAAGTCTAGTATAGAGGTATTAAGAGATATTAGATAAATAAAGGGAAGTATATATATATTGACTAGTGCTATAAAGCTATAGCTTGCTATAAAGTTGGCTTTAATCTTAAGTATCAGAAGATAACTCGAAATTAAGTAGGCGATAAGTACCCTTATATATATATACTATATTAGGTCCTTTATCCTTCGAATATTCCTCAGGTCCTATATAGACCTATTATCCTAAGATCCTAAGTTAGACCTCCTTCTTAAGGTCCTATTATAGATCTTTGCTCTGAGGTCCTATTATAGATTTATCCCTAGTCTTAGTATTTAGGACCTCTCTAGTTATTACGTGACTTAGGGAGTTTCTAGATTCTTCCGTCCCGTAACCTTATTTGTCCAATAAGTATATTTATCTGAGCTACGCCGCAGGTAGTCTATAATATTATCCCCTCCTCTCTTAATAAATCGTCCCGATCATTTCCTCAGTCTTCCTCTTATATAAATAGTAAGTGTCTTCCCGTTATATTAGGTTTAGTAAGTCTTTCTTTTATTATAGTGTGTGCTTCTAAATCTATTCGTACTCCTCGTAATTGTACTCCTAAGTGTGCTTATCTTGCCGCTATTATTAACTAATATAGTTCTTTAGTAGAGTTCTCTTATAATAGCTACTTCTTTTCTTTAACTCCGTACCTTATAATAGATTCTTCTAGTAAAAGTTATTCCTCTTATCTTCGCAAGAATTACGCCTGTGTTAGCCGCTTATCTTCGTGGAATTACTAGGAAGAAGAAAACTTCTAGTATCAATATTATCTCGGGAATTTAGATACTAATATTTACTTTTATCTAAATTAGGTCTGTGAGCTCTAGTCTTAATTATCAAAAGCTTAACAGAAGTTAGCTACTATTATAGAGGAAAATTAGCAAATCCGTGTGCGAGTAACGGCTTCCTTATCCACTATTTCCGGTCTTACTTAGCGTAACGAGGCTATTTTGGGCTCCTCCTCTTCTTATAATTCTTCTCTCGAAGCTCTTCTTAAGAATCTTTCTTCTAGTAGTACTTCTTAATCGCCTAAGTCGCATTCTAAAGGTTCCGTATAGGCTTGTAAGTATTTTCTAAATTATCGTAGCCTTTCTATTTTACTAAGTAGTAAATTTTCCCGTTAATCTTTTTCTTATCTAGAATTCTTTCTACTTCGTATTCTTATTCTTAGTTTTCTTATTGGATTTCTAGTTTATATAGTTTAGTATTCTAAGGTACTTTTTTAATTAATAAGATATAAAATACTAGGTGTATTTTTATATATTCCGGTAGTTAGAGTTTATAGTTAACTTATCCGATTTTCTCCAAAATCTTAAATAGTCCGATTTTTCGATAATCTAGTTTATTGTTTGGTCTTAATATTTTAATATTCCGTTGTAGTAGGAATACTTTCTCCCCCCTTTTAAAGGTTAGCGCTTCTATACGTTACTTATCGTAATAGTTACTCATTCTATAACTTAAGAATTCTAAATCTCTTTTCATATTTTTATATAGTAATCGTAGTTTTTCTGCTAATATCTCCGCTTCTTATGCGTGAGTCTTCGCTTTTCTAGGTATTTTTATTATTTCTAGTTCTCTTCTATAATTTATAAAGAAAGGTGTTATGCCTATCGAGGCTGCCTTAGCTCTATTATAGGCGAGCTATACTATTAGTAGTAATTCAACCTAATTATTCTATTCGTAGTTAATATAATATCTTAGATATTATTCTATAGTCTAGTTTATTCGTTTACTTTATCTATTAGTTTAAGAATAATACGCCGTAAACGCTTTCTATTTAATCCCTATTCGTTCGGTAAGTATTATCTAGAACTTACTTATAAATCTTGTATCTCTATCTAATATAATTTTATCTAGTAGTCCGTGATTCGCAAATACTTGTCTCAGAAGTATATATACTATATCTAGTACTATCATTTTTTTAACAAAAGGAATAAAGTAGGTATACTTTATTAGTCAATCCGTAATTATTATTATTATATCGTATTATATACCCGTTCGTGGCTCTTTCGATTTTGGTAGTTTTGTAATAAAATCTATTACTATAAATTTCTATAGTATATCCTTATGTAGTATTATGCTACAAAGGTGGGCTTCTCTTATAGGGATAAGGGAGGCGTCTCGAGGAAAGGTGTAACTCAAGGTGCTCTGTGGATGGGTTGGAGTATAAACGGTGCTCGTTCACTGTAGGAAGGATACTCCGGTATCCGACTTCAAGGCGATAGCTCCAAGTCTGGCTCAGCGTGCATGTACTCTCTGAGGTCCTTGTAAGCAATGAAGCTGGTACACTGGTCAAGTCTGGTATAAAGGTGTCAAGGGATATCAGATAGACAAAGGGAAGTGTATGTGTATTGACTAGTGCTGTAAAGCTATGGCTTGCTATGAAGTTGGCTTTGATCTTGAGTATCAGAAGATAACTCGAAATCAAGTGGGCGATGAGTGCCCTTATATACATGTGCTATATCAGGTCCCTCATCCTTCGAATGTTCCTCAGGTCCCATGTGGACCTGTTGTCCTGAGGTCCCAGGTTGGACCTCCTCCCTGAGGTCCCATCATGGACCTGTCCATGGTCTTGGCATTTGGGACCTCTCCAGTCGTCACGTGACCTGGGGAGTTCCTGGGTTCTTCCGTCCCGTAACCTTGTTTGTCCAATGAGCGTATTTATCGGGGTTGCGCCGCAGGTGGTCTGTAACACCCTACCTATAAAAAATATCTACTCTATATT